CCCCACCTGGCCCGGCCGGGCCAGGCACATCTCCACCCTGTCACCCTGCACCGCTCAGCCCTGACAGCCACAACTGCTGGGGGCTGGGGGCTGTACTAGATTCACCTTTGCCCCCTCAACAGGCTGCAGGGGCAGGTGCAGCATCTGGCCTGAACGCGGTCCTTCTGCGGCCTGGGGCGGCTGGAGGGTCAGCTGTGTGGGGCCTGGCCGGGCCTGTAGACTGCGGTATGGAGTCTGGTCTTTGTCCTAAGAGCCCCTGGGGAGCCACTTGATGGGTTTAGGCTGGGAAGTAAGGTTGTCTGAGTTATGTTTCCGATGTTTCTCTCTCATTGATGTTTCTAACTCTTATCCCTCTCTCTTCCTCTCTAAAAAAATCAATAAAATATATTTTTAAAAAATAAAAGGCCCATTCTTAGCTGGCAGCTGGTACAGAAGTAGGCTCCATGGGCGGTGGCCGAGGGTCCTGGTTGGCACACAAGAACCGCTCGCAGGGGTTAATGGACTGATGTCTGAAGGTCAGTGTCCCCCATACTGGCCACCAAACGTGGGCAAGACACGTCGTCTCTGCAGGGCACGGGGATAGGGGTTTGCACGTTTGAACTTGGATAACTATCACTCATCTGTTATAACATAGTCTTTACGTTTTAACTTCTCCTGATGGAAATGTTCTTTGGTGTGTTGGGGACTTAGCCTTTTCTTTCTCTTTTTTTTTTAAATATATTTTTATTGATATCAGAGAGGAAGAAACATCAATGATGAGAATCATTAATCAGCTGCCTCCTGCACGCCCCCTACTGGGGAATGAGCCTGCAACGCATGTGTCCTTGACCAGAATCAAACCCAGGACCCTTCAGTTCACAGGCGGACGCTCTATCCACTGAGCCACATGGGTGAGGGCCAGCCTTTTCTGTAGATTGAAGTGCAGTACCGACTTCAGACGATGTGCCGGCTACTTGTCTCCTCGCAGGGATTAGGTTTTTGTAATTATCTCATCCTTGGGACTCAGCTTCCCTCTCGCCTGGAGCTGTACTGTGTTAGGGGACAGAGCAGGTATCCCCCCTTCACCTTCTCCTTCCTCCAAGAGGTTCCAGTAAACTCAGAGGCAGCTGATGAAAGAATCAGAAATGAAATCATTTACTGGCTCCCCCTTGCCTTCCACAGAAGCAGGAGCCTGCGGGGGGATTGGTTCCTGCCGGTCTTTGGCATCGGAGTGAAGTGGGGCTGGAAATGGGGCTGTTACTGAAGTGATCCAGAAAGGTGATGTCATAGCAGCCATCTGCCTCCGTGGCCTGGATTTGCTGTACACGGAGCCAACAGGGTGGAATTCCTGGACTTTTGGTCTCAACAGACTTACATGTCTTAGCTTTGAAATCTTAAGGAGCTGTTGAATGTGAGACTGGAGTTGATTTCAAATCTTATTCTCATTCCAAATTAATATCGTTTCAGACAAAAATACAGGTGAAAATGGAAAAGCTGTCTTCAACTACCAAGGGAGTCTGTGAGCTGGAAAACTACCATTACGGGCAGGACAGCAGCCGGCCGCCCCTGTTTCACACGTGGCCCACCACCCACTTCTGTGAGTCCTCTCTGCCTGGTTGTCGGGTGCGTTCGGAGAGCCTTTGGTGCCATTTGGACCTGGCATGCCGAGACGCTGGCAGGCGTTCGGAGGAAGGAGCCCAGGGGTATCTTAAATAAATAGAGCATTTATTCTTGGCTTAATCATTAATCACCTAATCCAGCGATCGGCAAACTGCGGCTCTTTGGCCCCTTGAGTGTGGCTCTTCCACAAAATACCACGTGCAGGCGCTCATGTACAGTGCGATTGAAACTTCATGGCCCTTGCGTAGAAATCGATATTTCGTGGAAGAGCCACACTCAAGGGGCCAAAGAGCCGCATGTGGCTCGCGAGCCGCAGTTTGCTGACCACTGAAATCAAAGAATAATAAAAACACAATTAGAGACCCATGAAGCAGGTTGCCATTACTGGCCCTTTAAACCAGTGGGTAGAATGAAGAAAAAAATTTTTTTAAGATGATTCTTTTGCCTTTTGTTTGGTTTGAATAAGGATAATACTTCAGTGAACCTCATGGGAGAAGACTGCTTGGGCAATGGAACCCTTTGCTTTCATGAGTCCTATGAAGTAAGGTTATTTTTAGCTTTATTAGCCAAGAGAAGAGCTAAGCCACTTTATATTGACTGAGATCTCACTTTTCAGTGAGAAGTGGGTAACACCAGCTAACTGGCGTGTATTGCCGTGTTGTCGGGTTGAGGTTAACCTACCATTTTAGCCTTGCAGGTTCCCAGTAGTTGGGAGGTTAGAGTTAGTCTTTGTATCGTGTCCTTGCCGTGTGCTCCTGCTGAGGGCCGCAGCCAGGCGTGCACGCCTGCCGGTCCTTGACCTCTTGACCTCTGCGCCGGAGCTGAATCTGGCGTTTAGCCAGCAGCTTCCTGCCCAGGTGCTTCCTTGTGTGGCTGCCATTAAGGGGAGACTCGCATTTCTTACAGACGAGGCTTCCCGCCGCCTCTCGGACATGTACGGGGCGGAGCTCCTCCTGAAGCGCACCATCGTGGATGGGCTGGCGCACACCGCGGACCACGACCTCTCCCTCACCTACCTGTCGCTGTGGCTGCACCAGCCCTACATACAGAGCAACAGCAGGCTGCTTCTTGAGAGCATGCTGCTCGAGACGGGGCACCGCGCGCTGTGACTCCAGGCTTCCCGCTGCTCTCCAGGCCTGCCTGCTCCACTGGCCTCTGCAGCGCCCACGTTGGACTGTCTTGCATGTCATGCCCTGGGCTCTGGCCTGGCCACCTTCTTAGGGTCGTCCAGACTGGACCGGCTCACCAGCGCCCCACGGCCTATGCAAATGCACTGTGTCTGCCACATACTGTCTGCCGCACAGTGTCACCAATCGACCCAAGGTGAACCCAACACCCCTGAGGACCTCGGCACGAAATAAATGAGTTCAACGGAAGGATGGTGTGATCCTGTTTCTGTGAATCAGGTGTATTTTACACAGGTTGCATTTTGTAGAAAATCCCTAGTTGTAGTGTTTTTACTTTATATTTATCTGTATTGTTGGAGTTTTTGAGTTTTGTAATTACAGCTAATGTTCAAAATAATAATAGAGTTTGCCCAACTGGCAGGGCTCAATGGTTGAGCATCAACCCATGAAACAGAAGGTCAAAGTTTGATTCCTGGTCAGGGCACATGCCCAGGTTGCCAGCTCAATCCCTAGTGGGCATATGCCTGAGGCAGCTCATCAGTTATTCTCTCTCATCATTGATGTTTCTCTCTCTCCCTCTCCCTTGCTCTCTGAAATATGTAAAAATATATTGCCCTGGCCTGCTTGGCTCAATGGATAGAGTGTTGGCCCACAGACTGAAGGGTCCTGAGTTTGATTCTGGCCAAGGGCATGCATCTGGGTTGCAGGCTCAATCCCTGGCCCTGGTCGGGGCATGTGCAGGAGTCAACCAATCGATATGTCTCTCTCACATCTATGTTACTTTGTCTCTCCCCATCCTTTCCACTCTCTAAAAACCAGTGGAAAAATATCCTCGGGTGAGGATTAACAAAAAAGTAATATTTAAAAAAATACCATAGAGACCAAGATGGCGGCATAGGTAAATACCTGAACTTGCTGCCTCGCACAACTACGTCAAAACTACAATTAAAAGACAAAACAGACATCATCCAGAACCACGGGAAGGCTGGCTGAGTGGAAGTTCAACAACTAGAGGAAAAGAAAAATGTATCTAGACAGGTAGGAGATGCAGAGGTGCAGAAGAGCAGAGGTCCAGAGGCGAGCAAAACGGGCTGGCAACGGTACGCTGTGGTCTTTTTCAAGCGGGAGATACAAACTCCCGACTACTCTTAACTCCAGTTCCGGGCAAGACTCTGGGGACCCAGACTCATACAGGGAGAAACTGGACTGTCTGGCATCCGGCTGGAATGTGAGGGCGGCTTTCTCTCAGAGGTGCTTGCAGCATACGTTGTTCCTGCGCAGTGCCGAGGGACACAGAGACCCAAGGATCTATTGGGGCAGGGCCAACGGCAACCATTGCTGTTTGCACCACCCTGTGATTCCCTGAGACCCCACGCCACCCAATTTACAATCCCACCCAAGCTCGGAGCAGAGGTTTTGCATATGAATGGCCTGGCATTTTGCAATCTAAAATCTAACAAACTGCAGCTGGGTCAAAGAATCCCAGAGCTTCCAAAAGAAGGCCCAAGGCTTGTCAGCAGCTTGCATTACTTCACAGCTGGGTCTCATCTGGGCACCTCCAAACCCCAAACAAAGAGGAAGAATCTGCAGATCTCTCTGTAGCTCCTGCTGGGTGGCCTCAGGCAGTGGCTGACTTTGCCCCTCCTTGGAAATCCAAGAGCCAGTGGACCCAGTGGTCAGAGTGAGACCACACCACTTTACAACTCTTCACATCCATAATAGACACACTTAAGGGGCAGACTTGGTGAGCCCCAAAGCCCCACTGAAGCAAGTCCTGCCCTATAAGGGTGTCTCCAGCACAGCAGTTCTCCCATTGTATACACAGCTGGTCCTCACAGCCAATTGGCCTGGTGGTCAATTTCTCCCAGTGATACCAACAGCATTCAAGACTTAACTACAACAAGACTGTGAACACAGCCCACAAAGGGGTGCACCAAGAGTGTCCACTGCAGGTGATGACAGGGGAGGCTGAGCCACTAAGCCCTATAGGACACCTAGCACACGAGGCCACTCTATCAAC